AAGTCGAGTCAGTTTCAGATGCCGATGCCTATGGCGATGCCGATTCAGATCCAGAGGCCTGGCCAAATGCCCATATATAAATAACAGAGACCAGGGCCCGTTTCACGTGATTTTCTTGCCGTTGTGCTCATGTGCAGTGATTATGAAATAAATTGCAGCCGCAGCTACTGTGGCGTTGCTGCAGTTGCACTTTTTCCCTCTGGGTTCAGTGACCCGTTGGTGAGCTCGATTGTTGTGCTGCTTGTGGCAAGTGCAGTGTACATGTTTCCTTTGCTTTTCCAAAAAAAGAAGAAAAACAGAGACCGATACCGAAACCGAAACGGCGAAAAAGCAGACCCATAAAACCTTGCGTGTGTGGCATTTTTAGCCGTCACGAAGTCTGCCGCCAAAAAGGCAAAATAATAAAAATATAAAAACATTCGGCTAGAGCGGAGGAAGGCGGGAAATGCTGAAATCAGGTCAACCGCTCTGGGCCCTGTTTTAATTGTTCGGGCTATCTGACAAATTTCAGTTTCGGTTTCAGTGGCTGTCCTTGTGGCAAGTTGAGGCTGATTTCCTTGCGAATTCCTCCGCACTTGGCCCGTTAGCTCTGCCCCCGTTCTGTGTCCTTTGCTTGCCCTCTGCTCCCTGAATGTCGCCTTGCCACTAAGTAAGCTAAATTGATTCGACTGGGGACGTAAATGGATTACAACACTTTGATCAACAGGGAATAGAGGCGAACGGCAAGAAACACTACTGGCATACTTCCACGCGTTTCGTATAAACATGAAATTATTAAAACCACCTTATATCATTGCTTAGGTAAATCAATTATAAAAAAAAACTTACTCTGCATATTGCTATATGTTAATATGATTAATTTTCCATTGGTTGGCCTTGTTTAATTCATGTCTCCTCCTTGTCTTTGTGCTCTAGACTGGCCTTCAAGTTTGAAAAGTTCAATATTTTCATAAGATTAGATTACAGGGTTTCACTAACCATATTATGAAGTCTATTTGCAGGTCCTGGTTTTCCTCTCTTTCCTGCCTCTTCCCTCGCATGCGTGTATTGGTGCGTTCATTCATTGATTTCAGGACTCTCCCTCGGGCTTCTCTCTTCCCAAAGTTCCCCCACCATCGCACACTCCCCCTCGATAAGCTAGTACACTCCCAGTCCAAGTTGCCACTACGCAATTCCATCTTTGTTGCTACTTTTCGGTCTGCTGCCGCTGCTGCTGACGCATTGTCCTGTCACACCCACACAAGAACAAATAAAATAATACACCAATACAGGCACGCGCACACCCACACACGCACACAGGGAGCTTTGCGTTGGCCCACATTTTCTGTACTTTAAGGACTTACAGAGCAGAGCGATGGCATAATTTCCCTCCCTTTTCGACTCTCTACCCCTAATTCCCTTTATTTTATTCCCTCCAAGCCCTGTTTGCCTTGCTGTCTGTTTGGCCCCATTTCCTACCTATACCCTTCCAGAGGGTATGTTCAAATTACGAATAATTGTCGCATGTTTCAGATCCACAGTTATCAACAACCAACATTTAAAGTCACCATTTCTTGCTAGCAATAGCAACAGAAATTACTTACGGCAAGCAACAACGGACACAAACATAATAAAGAGTATATAATAATCGGTATTTACAATTTCGGTCTGCAACCTGTTTTCAGAAAACTGACCCAGTTTTCAAATGGGCTCCATGAGGTGCTTAAGGGTGGTCAGTAGTGCACCGAAGGACCAGGACCAAGTCATTGCACTCTCAAGGCAATCGAGAATATTTCGTGTAGAGCACTGACAGCTGCTTGGCCTAGTTTGAAAGCGTTTTAGCAAAGCTTCGAAGGGATCCTTAGGTGCGGCTTAAAAGTACGCCTACCCTCCAGCACGCCCCGTTCATAGGGCATGCAAATTTCTCTCAAGTGGGTGTGGGGTTCTTACCTTTACTGGGACCGCCCAGGTCACCTAGTTGTTTAGAAGATGTCACTTATTTGGGTGGTAATTTAATAGAAAGTAAGCCATCTACTTTCTTGGCAGCTCTGACAAACTTGAAAGTCATGTGTGTCATTACTATATATACTTGCTATCAGGGTTGTCATGCTTGAACCCGGACCTCGTCCACTTAATACTCGAACTTATTCTCATTATCTAATCCGTACTCTTGAAGGAGTTTCTACTTTTATCAGTAAAGCTTCGGACAATTTTAAATGGAACTACCTTTTGATTTCCTCTTCAGCACAAAAAGAAACAAACAGTTCCGAAGCGTATAACTTCGGTGAACTTTGGCGTAGTGGAAAATTACTTGGAAACCTCAAAAGTTTTTCCACTTCGCTAACTGACGCAAATTGCACCGAGAATTACGTGACGAGAGTTGGATCGAATCGAATCGAGTCTCGACTTGACCCACCGATTGTTGCACTTGCGTCACTTTAACCACTCAAGCCACCCACATAATTGTTGTGGCATTACTTGGGCCTCGTCTCTGGCAGTCGACGATTAACCCATGCTGGCCAGCCATAATCCCCGAAAATGCTTGGCACCTGCTTTATGTGCATGCTAAGGTGATTGCTAGATAAGCTAAACTATTTGGGGCTCTAATTGACTTGTTTCGGTTTCTGTTTTATGGCTAATACTTGCCAGGGGCTACCGTCAATAATGTCAATTAGAAGAGTGAATAAGTGTAGAAATATAAACACATATTCACGTGTACAGTGGGCCAACATATTGCATTAAAGGAATTCAAAGATAAACCCGTAAGGTTTCCTCAATGTTTTAGTTTCATTACAACAATTATTAGCCGGTTAGTTTAATCGGTTGCTTCATAAAAAACTGTTCGCTTCTTGTCGGAGAATCAGATTTTATATATAAGGTTGATCCCTATATACTCAAGATATACATTTAGAAAGAAGTTCAAACTTGGTAGGATTTCTGGCGTATGTAACCTCCGCCAAGTCAGCATTTTGGTACTATTTTTTGTCGATTTTCCCAGCTCTTGGCTGACATCTCGCGACACCGACATAACGGCGAGTCGCCTCATTAGCATAAACGTTTTAATTAGCTGCTGGTTCCCGGGAGCGTTAATCGATTCGGTGCCGAAACATTTGTGTGTCTCGAGGCTTTGCTGAGTTTGGTTAAGCTGGGCATTGGGGCATTGTAAACTGTCCAATTGAATCCAATTGAGTGGCGGGCCGCTTGATTTCATTAGCGCAAATTGGGTGCATTATAACATTTAGATAACGTTCTCGAGTCCGAGTACAGCAGGCAGCAAACAAACAAGCAGCTCAACTGCAGTGCAAATTATTGTTAATAACTCTATAGGCTGTCCATGTGATACCTGTTGCCTGGTGTCGCTATTTGTGTACAATCGTGTTGCTTTGCTGCCGACGTAACCCGAGGCACCTTGAAAATACTAGACGTAGCATAATATTGACATACATATGAAAATTGCACATTACCAATCAAAACGCAGCTAGTCGAGTCAACTTGCGTGGAGTCGGCTGGATGTTTGTTTGGAGAAGGCGGAGCTCCTAACTGAACTCATAAGTGCAGTGAAAATGCGTTTATTTAGCAAGTCGGTGATATGGAAGAGTCGAGACTCCCTGGGTTTCCAATTCATGGTAAAATCAACAAGGAGATGTTTTATTGTGCAGTTTCCTAACGCGAATTCAAATGGCCAGGAACCACCGAGGATCATACTCACTGACTCGCTTACAAACTTGCTCGCTGTTTGTGCAACACAAATGTGAAATTACATTGATTATGTGCTATCATTTGTAAAAGGCCATCTCTGCTTCTTTTCATACTACAACGCACCTCAGGCGAACCTCTTATCTGAGTTTTTTAGAAGCTGCCATAGATACAACTTGTCTGGGCGACAAATCCGCTCCACGGCACCTGTTTCCCCGCACTGCTCTGCTGGCCAGGTAAAGAGACCGACACCTTATATCGGACAGCCAATCAAGCAAACGCAGCGATCTATCAGACCTGTCTGTCTCTCTATATTTCTATCAGATAGTCCCCACAAAGCCCCCCGAAATGCTGTTCTTGACAGGCGAAATCATTAGCAGTGTCGGAGGAAAATGGAAAATAAAAAGCTCAAGAGGTGCTCGTTGTTGCTGGGCTTTCGATACGTGTCCGGAATTTCTTTAGAAATTTGCAATTCAATTTGAGTTTTTCGTTTGCTTCGACGCCGCTTTGGCTTGCGAATTGTGACGAAAACAGAACGAACATGAGTGTTATGTTGGCGAAATGGAGAGACAAACACTTTAGGTAAATAGCCCGCCTTTCGTTCCCCAAAACATGATGATGAGATAGTAGAAAATTGGAAAAATGGATTTGAGTATCGAGTATACGCAGCGTGTGCCACAGTCTGTTATGCCAATCGTAATTGTTACCTTATGGCCAAAAAGGATACGCTTAACTGTTTTGTGTATGTATAGGAGGAAAGTAGTGCAACCACATAATATTTATATCATGAGGTTTGCTGAGACTTCGTTGTTCTTTTAAACATTCATTTATATTTTTTAATAATTTATTTGATTAATATTAATTTTTAATATTATTTTTGTCTGTTCTTTTGTGAAATATAAGATCATTTTAGGTTTTTGGCCGAGTGAGATGTTTGCGCTGCATATTTTTGTTTTTCCTAATTTCTTTTGGATTTCATTAGATATGAAACCGGCTGCTGTTGTTGGTAGCAGCAAAAACGTATCGTATATGCCTGTGACTTTATATATACTACAAATTATAAATCTGGCCAGTTTGCTTTTTATAGCCGGCTCGCAATTAACGAGCGGGCCAAGTATTTATTGAGCCAATGGCGCCTTTGGCATTATGTACTATACAGTTCGGAGGGGTCATGTCATTGAAACAATTTCGATTTCGGCTGAAAGGAATCCATTCCATATGCTTTCGCTTTCTTGTAGATTAATGTTTGAGGATCCCAGCTGTCTGCTTGGAGCAGTTCAAAATGTGTACGAGAATAATTGACAACCTCCTCTATCTCATTGCAGACTCGAAAACGCCGACAATTGCGATTCGATTCACACACAGCTATGCTTTTGCAGTACTCGTGCTAAATCGTTTACTATAATGAATTCCGCGCGGCACCATCGTATTGGGGTATTTCTGTCTCCATAACTTGGCCACCATTTAAATAAAATTAAAACCGGAACACAATAGAAATATTAAGCACGACTACAAACCCAAAACAGACCCGCAAATTGATTGCCACACAACGGATAGCAAAGCACTGCATCAAAAGCCATCTAGTCAAACATAACCGAACCAACGAAGAAAAGCCGCCAACTGCCGGAGGGAAGAACGAATCCGAGTGGACGCAAACCCAAATCAAAGCTTGACAGAGGATCCGGAGAGGGCGCAAACCTGGCCAAGAAGATGCCATACCATCGAGGCGGAGATGCCTCTTCCCAGGCCGACAAGCTGAGCGGCATCGTGGAGGAGAGCGACCTTTACGAAGGGTTCGCCCCGCATGTCGAGACGTCCGAAATCAAAACCCTCGACTTCTACAATTTACCAAAGCAAACTGGTGAGTACTGTGGTTGTTTTTACACATTTCTTATATTTGTGGGGGCTAGCATATGGTTCGTTGGGTATTGTATGGTATGATTTAAAAAAGCGCAACATGGAAAATGTCTATATGGTACCGGTATATGTAAGGGTCTATTGTGGGCTTCCAAATGTAACTCGTACTCGTACTGATTAGTTTTGTATATTTTAAAAGCACACACAAACTGGCAATGTGTATTTAATAATCATTACCTACAATAAGTGAACGTACAAGTATGACCACACAATGGTATTCATTTAAACTTATATCCCCTGCAAATATGGTTTTGGCGTTCTATTTTATTGCTTGCGTTCAGTAAAGAAGCATAAGTAAATAAAAGAAACGATATTAATTTGTTCAATTAAAAAAAGTCTACAGTCGACTTCTTTCATTATCAAGTTCTCGTTGCACAAATAGTGGGAAAGCGAGTGAGAAATAGCAATATTTCGTTGGCATGTCGATCAAAAATGGCCAGATATATAGTAAAAAGGTTTTTCAAACCTTGTGGTCATGACCCTTTTATACCCGTTACTCGGAGAGTCAAGGGTGTACTAGATTTGTTAAAAAGTATGTAACAGTTGACCTGGCCTTCCAGAACGTTGCCACGAACGTACATGAGCAAAAGGACTCGGCTAGTGATCCTGTTGAAGAGTATTTAGTGTCGTGGAAACGCTGCCTTTTACTTTTGAACTAAATAATACCCCCTTTTACTCCATATACAGTGCTATGCCCGCTATCGAAACCGTAATCACTGTTAAAATATATTTAGCTGCCAACGCTAGAAGTAAAATCTCTTTAAGCATCCTAATTTTTAATGAGTTTTCACGTGCCGCCCACACATAAACAAGAAAATCAGGTGATTGAGAAAATATCTTCCATTGAGGGTGAAATTTTAATTTATTTGTTTCGCAGAAAACTATTTGTTTGCTTTTTACTTAACCTCGGACGAGGTTAATCAATAAACAGGTCGAAACAGTCGAGTAAAAGCATCAAGTAAAGCACCAAATTAGTTATAGATGTATGAAAACAATCAAAGCAAATACGTTCGAAATTAAACAGTGCAAAAAAAACCGCTTTAACTTATTATTTACTACTCCAACTGGATCTTTTGCATATATACTCTGCATATATTCAAAAAAATAACACAAGAGAGAAGCTTTTGTTAAGTTCCTCGACTAAAAGATACCCGCTACTCAGTGGGAGACCGCCGGAGAAATATTAAAATTCTTTTGGCATATAGGTCGAAATTTCCATTTAAAATAGTATTCTCAGAAAAAAATGTAAACCTTTAAAAAGATAGCCTCTTGAAGTTTTGGGCGTTAGACTGGGCGTGGCCCAATATTTAGTCATATTAATTGAAATTGGCAAGAAAAAGAAATTAATTTTTTTTAAATTAAAACATTTTCCAAAGCATCAAGTAGGGGCGGGGCAGTTTTGGCCGGTTGGGTGGCCTTAGAGTTGGGCGTGGCAACTATCTGAAACTGGCCAGCGTCACTAGAAATCAGAATTGTAATGCAATCATTTTTTTTACATATGATGACATTGAAATTTAAGTACCATTTTTACTTCAGGGCGTTTTTCAATTCTTGTTTTTTCAGTTTTTTTATGAAGAGGTCGGAAAACTAAATGCGACTTGTAGTTGAAATAAATCGTTCGGCATATGGCCAAATGAAAAATCGATTTATATCTATAGGGCCAGAAAAGTTGCATTTTAGATTTCACAAAATAATTTGTTTACGATACTCTATATGTAGTGAGATGTCTAGCGTATTCGTTTTTCTTTGATATAATCCAATTTCGGTTCCAAAGGAAATCGCGCAATGCAATGCAATCCATTGAGAACCAATAGTGCATCACCCCCTCGTCGTTCGACATTGGCCTTGATTTTGATTTACAAAATAATGAGGCTTATGCACAGCGGCATATGTGCATATGTATATATAATGGCCATTAATATGTAGGAAAATTTCTACACATTTATTTATCGAAATAATATACGGTTTCAATACTATCTATATTCCAATTATAAGCACCGAATATTCGATTAACATAATGAACCCGAAAATTTAGAATAATATAGTATAGCTCGTGCTGAGGGGAAAGCAAACAAACAAAACCATTCACGTTTTACGGCACTTGGCCAGCTGCCAATTAAATTGTTTAAAAATAATCCAACTTTTTCATCACTCTCGTGCTTGTTTCTTTTTCTTCGGTTGCTTATTTTCCCAATAATTTTTTAATAATTCTTGTTTTGCTATGCTGCTGATCATGCGATTTAAGATCTGGAAAATATTGAATTTATGATCAGCATTATATTCAACTTGATATTAACAATCAAATAAATTTATATTCATTTAAACATGATATAAATATAAAATATAAATTAAATAAAAAATCGAAAAAAATGTATTGTCTCTCTTCCTCCCAAAATTTTAGTTCGAATTTTTAAGAGCTTCACCTTTCAAAATTAATCCATTATTTAATGCATATATTTTAAGCATATTTTCTGTGTCATACAGGCCACGTGCCATCTCATTTTCAAAAACATATACTACACAACAACAAATAAATAATAAGAGCAACCGAAAATACGAATCTTTATAGCTTAGATTTAAAATTTATTTCTTGTTAGCAATAACAACATATTTGCTTACGCAAGCAAATGGAAGCCGAATATTTTCGCAATTTTCTCTTGCCGTTGACGTCGAAGAAAAATGTTGCTTTGCTATTTAATGCCAAATTATGTATTGAAACGAGGGAAATAAATTTCCATTCAAGAGGATTTTTATACGCGTTACTCATAGAGTAAAAGGGTATACCAGATTCGTTGAAAAGTATGTAACAGGTAACAGGTATCCGACCATATAAAGTATATTTATTTTTGCTCATTAGTATGAACGTCGAGATCTCAGCAACTTTAAAAGCTAGATTTAAGTTAAGATTTAGCATGGTTATTCCAAATGCTGCCACGCCTACTCTAACGACCGCAAACCGTACAAAACTCTCACGCCCACACTGTTAAAAAACGTTTTTTTTTCGTTTTATTATTTGTCTTGTCAATTTCTATCGGAAAACACTCATGTCACGCCCCTTCTAACTCCAAACTTTCATTCCCACACTTTTGAACCATTTTTTAATTTTGTATTAATTATTCTATAGTTTGTTCAACTTTCTATCGATAACACACCTAAAAAATTGTATTTCTTTTTACCCAAACACAACCGATATTTTAAAAAACTATTAAAATTTCTTGTTCGCGCTTCCACTAGCTAAGTGAAGGGTATCTGATAGTCGGGGAACTCGACTTAGGCGTTCTCTCTTGTTTTATGATCCATTTGTGCGATTGGAAAAATGTTTTGCCAACAATAACAAATTGAGGAATTTTATATATTTTGGAAATTTCCACTGGTCAGCCGATGTTCTGTATACATATACATATAGATATGATTTTTCAATACCCTTATATTGCCGCACATTCCCACCTTATAGCACGTGCCTCTTTGGGAAATGTGTGAAAAGTGTGCCCCATATAATGAATCTCTAAAATTTGTAACTGGCCAAAACTGGTTTACGCAAATTTGTATCGTTTATTTTGTTTATTTTTGTTTTGTTTCCATTTGGTTTTTGTTTTGGTTCTGCATTTATTTTTAGTTATTATACCCGTTAAAGAAATTAAAGAAATGAGTATGCTAGATTCGTTGAAAAGTATGTAACAGGTAGAAGGAAGCGTTTCCAAGCCTATAAAGTATATATATTCTGGATCATGACCATGTTTGCCCGTATGAACGTCAATATCTCTGGAACTAAGATTTCTACAAAGTTGAGACTAAGAATGCAGATTCCAAAGACAAACGCGGCGCAAGTTATTTCTTTACTGACCACAAGCCGCCCAAATCTGCCACGGTTATACTTTTGGAAAATATTTTGATTTTTTTTCACTTTATTGTTTTGTACTAATTTGTATTGGTATACCAAAAAAATGTGTTGAAATCTCTTTCGCACTTCCACTAGTTGAGTAACGGGTATCTGATAGTCCGGGAACTTAACCTTAGTGTTCATAGTAGGTTTAAAGATTTTTTTGTTGGTTTTGATGAGGTGGCAATTTGCAAATCTCTCACAAAATTTGCTCAATCGCATATTTTGTAGTAGGAGAATTTAATTTTCTTGCTATTTTGCCTGTGTATACATTTTTAATACAACTTATTGGGGTTTCTTTGTGTTCTTGTCAGTTCTTTTGACCGCTATGACCGATGCCTCAGAATTAAACTGAAAATAATAGGCATACAAAAAAGTTTAGTAGTGTTGTGATATCATTTTATTATCATTAAATTTATTTTAAATATAAATTTATATATTAAATTTAATTTATAGAGTATATTTTAATAAGATCAGTATCAACAACCCCAGTCGATATTGCTGTGTCCGTCCGTCGGTTTCTTCTCAAACTTCTCCCTCATTTTTAACGCTATATGCATGTCACTTTCCCAGAAGGCTTCCTTCAAAGTAGATAGTATATATATCTTAGATATAAATAGCTCTAGATATATCTTAGAGCTGTCATAGGAATAACCGGAGAATTATGTAGCTTCGTTGTGTTTGATCATGAAGTTTTCTAATTTGATGAACATTATACAATTACGTTATATCGCTGCCATCTTCGTTTCTAGCTATCTTTGTTTCTTGTTTTATGTCATGTTAGTTCACAGATCAACAACTTAAAAACCGCTATTCTTACGCCTACTTGGCATTTGTCCTTTGATCTTCGGAGGCATAACACCATCATTAGCTGTGGCTTGTTGAGTATCTCGGGGATTTGAAAGCCGTCCGATTTATTAATTAATGGCACTCTTCGTTTGGATCTGCATCTCCATTACGATACTTTGCGTGTGGAATGGAGGCGATGGCTGCTGAGTTCTTGATTCCAATTGGGAGCGGAAGAAATATAGTTACAAGGAATAACAGTCCGTAGACCGAAATAT